CAGTAAAATTGTCCAATTGTTAGATTAAGCTTTGAATTGTTGTATCTGAGAAATGATTAAAGTTATCTAACTGGAATTATCCAAGATTTTTATAGCACTATTGGACTCTACTTTGAACAATAAGAATGTATTTAGCTCTAAGTTGAAATGATGATTCCCCTTGTTGTTGTGACCTCCTGATCCAGTTTTCCTTTCTAACAGTCCCTCTTTTTTAAACTTATTCACCATTCTCTTGATGGTTCTTGAATGAACTTTGGAGATGGAAGCCAGACTATGAATGTTGGTACTATTACTGAAGGTCTGAATGATCTTTTTCCTCTCACCATTGCTCAGTTGGAATGACATAGTGGGGCTGACACAAAATGATTTTAACCTGTTCTGTTTCTAGCTGAATAGTTTTCCAGTGATTCTCATGACAAATGGTGTCAAGATGGCTAACGTCTTATCTGAAAACATGGAAAAAAGAAAATTTGTTTCATAGTTTTTTTACATATTAAACATTTTGTGGGATGAACAATTACCCCATGATGTTACACCTGGTATACACACATGTATATAATAAGTGTGTTTGTGTGCAAAAAGATCAATTTTGTTGCTTATATTTTAAATTATGTTAATAACTATTAAGAAATAACAATTGTCAATTTCTTTGTGTCTATGATAGTTTTGCATTGATTTTGACACTAATTATTTTGAATATTTCAGTTCCAGTGACAGTGAAAACAGTCTACTTAGAACCACGAAAGAAGGAGAATATTTATCCTCGTGGGACAGATGTTTATCTCCACTGCGTTGCTTTTGGGAATCCTGCACCTGATTACCACTGGGTATACATGTCTCCAGATGGGCGCAACCATTTTGTCCTGTCTCAGCTAAACTACTATCGCATTCGAAATATCCAGCGAGGCGATGAAGGGAATTATTCATGCAAAGTTACCAATAAATACAATGGTCGATCATTCTATGATGAAGAATTGGTGCAGATACGAATTAGTGGTAAGTATAGAGATTTATTTGGATTTTTTTTTTTTTTTTATGTGTGGTGGACTAATGGCTAACTGTCTGAAAAGCTGGCAAGCCAAGTTCAAATTCCACTTGGGACAGTTTGTGTTCACTTAACACTAATGTACTTGGGAAATGCAAGAATCCATCTCATCTCCTCCCAACTATGGGTTAAATAGTAGACTGCCTCCTTTGGCAACCAATCTCAAAGAAGTTCAACTCTGAATTCAAAACCATGGAGAAGTCAACAAGAAACGACTCCACTATCTTTCTCAAGAATAGACATGGTAATATACAATGCAAAAAACTCCAGAACCACACAAGTTGCAAACATATGTATCCTGACAGAGTTAGAATTTAATATAAAGGCTTAAGAGAAGGCCAGGAATTTAAAGTGGAACATCTTAAGGAAAATACTAGTGGTACCAGTGTCAGGAAAAAAGCACCAAGATGTGACTCACAGATGAAATTCTCAAATGAATGAAAAAAAAAACAAACAACAGTAACAAAGAATGGCTTCCCTTTTATATAAATACATTCATGGTAATTGTTCTAATGACGTTTTCTCTTTAGTACCCAAACTTTATGAAATTAAGCATACTATTAGAGTGGAGGCAAGGTCTCATCATTTTACATTTAAAATGGCTACATATAACTGTAAGTTCTATGCTAACAGTTTATTCTATCAAATTCTTTACTTGTGAAACTCTCCTGCTGCTTCTTGCTTCCCAGTCAACTTTAATATTCAAGAATTTAAATGCAATGTCAATCATTATTTTTTGTTTTCTTAATTCTTATTCTTTTATTGTTCTGTCTCCTTAATAGTAGTTTTTCTCATATTCTTTAACACCTAATAACCTTCTGTGTCCTAGTGTTTTATTTCCTTTGCTTGTGGTGAAATGATTAAAAAATATTAAACAAAAACATGGGAAAGTAATGCAAGCAAGTAAAAGATGACTGGCTCAATGAGAAACATGCAGAGATAGAAACTGAGGAACATAGACATAGAAGGCACACATAAAAAGATAAAAGAAATAACAAGACAGAGGACCTGCTCCATAAAAGAATGCATAAAATCCAAAATGAGAGAACTAATACTAGAAAAAGAAAAGAAACTTCAGTGATTACATTAGAGAATTCTTCCAAGACAACAGATGAGAGAAACCTACTATGCATAAAAACATAAAATAACCTGTAGTGTTAAAATCTGAACTAAGCAGTTTAAGTAGTTTCATAGTAATTGTTCTGATGAGCTATCCACTTTGGTCTCTTGAATTTAAGAATTCAAACACAGTACTAGACTGACAGATAGGCTTACATTTTACATTTAGGTTCATTTTACTGTTGAAATGGCTAGATGTAACTATAAGTTCTATGCTAACAGTTTTTTCACTCACACTTCTTGTTACAGAACACATTTCTGACTTCTTGCTTTCTGGTTGTTGTAACATACCTACGGACGATAATGAGTATGTCCTCATTCACATAAATACAGTAGTAAATACTGTATGTTGGTCTGCAGTTGGAGATTCATTATGAAATTCATGTGACTCACTTCTAAGAAGTTACTACTTCTTCTACGTGCCATTAGCGAATCTTATATGTGTTATTCTTGTCTTAAGTATTACCATTCATTACCAACCTTCATTTGATTATTCTATTCAGTAACCTTCCCCAGGTTACAACACTAGTCAACTTCAAAATTTAAATCTAATATCAATCGGTGCCTTCTATCTTCTTAAATCCTGTTCTTTTATTGCCCGCTCTCCGTAATAATTTTTTCTTTTAGATTCTTTTACCTACTGTAATACCTTTCATCTTAGTGGCTTTATCACCTTATCTGGTGTGAAATGATTACAAAAAAGAAAGAGCAATGTTAGCGAAGGTTAACAGAAACAAAATGGCAGCATCAGAGGATATTTTAATAGTGATGATGTAATCCATATTTGTGGATCAATAAGACTACTGCAAGAAATAACTGTTTAAACTATTGAAATTGCATAATAAATTTTATTAAATGTGTGCAAAATATTTCAGAACTTTTTTCAAAACTATAAGCAAAATATACAATTGAAAATCAGTATATATATATTAATATATAATATATTTATAATATTTGCGATTCATCTTTTGCCAGAGATTTTTTCTGTTGTCAGCAGGGCATATTCAGACTACTACTTGAAAGTGCTTGACACTTAAGTCCAAGCAACCTTCTCTCTGTAACCATAAGGAAAGGCTGATGGGTCTTAATATAATTTGTCTCTGATAATAATGCTAACTCTCTGGTAATATACTGATTAATTTGGGAATTTTTTTTTCCATTTTGTTCCTCCCTCTTTGCATATACATGCTTCTTTCTATTTATTTTTAATCCTTTCACATCAAGCAAGGTGATAATGCCACTAAGACACAAGTGTTATTGTGTGTGAAAGAAAAGACTTTAATGAGGTGTACAGACAATAAAAGAACAGTATTCAGGAAGAGAGGAGATAGCAATTGACATTGCATTTAAATTTTTAAAGATTGTAGATTACAGGGCAGCAAGAAATTTGAAAGGATTTCCACAGGTGAGAAGTGCAAGAAAAGAAGCTGTTAGAATAGAATATATAGTTGCATCTAGCTAGTTCAACAGTAAAACAGTGAGACCTAATTGCCAATCTAGTAGCATGCTTAAATTCATGCAGTTGAGGCACCAAGGAGGAAAGCTGATGAGAACAAATGCTATGAAAATATTTTTAGAAAAGGCAGAAGGCTGCCATGTCATGTAAGTGAGAAAGTGACTGAAGTAGAGATGCCAGCACAATATTCAAAATTATTGCTGTCTCTTTATTTTTGTGATGTCACACCAAATTTTAGAGAATTTGAACAGAGTATTTAAATTTAAGTATATCCTGGGTATGATGATAAATTACATCCAGCAGCAGGGTCTCTGATCAGAAAATTGGAAGTTTTGAAGTGCATGGCCCCAGGTCCATCCTAATTGGGGGTGATAGAATCTGTCAGGGTCCCAGCTATGGACAAATAGTGAACCCCAAAACAAAAATTAGAAGTACATTTTTATAGCAAAATGACCAACAATACATTTTCATGGTAAAATTACCAGCAATACATTTTTATAAAAAAATTAACAATACATTTTAGGATCTACAAACTATATATCTACAAAAACATACCTTTTATCCTGAAAGTATAACATTATGTTACAAATTTAGATTTCGGCATTAAATAACCCATAGAGGTGTTGATATGCTGCTAAACAAAACCAACTAACTTTAAGTAATTATTCTACTTATTAGAAAGATGAAACTTTGCAACATGATAATTTGATATAGGTTTTAAGCGATGTATGAACTGAAAATTAGTAAAATTAATTAATAAACTTTTGCTTTGTTTGTTTGTTTGTTTAGCAGCATATCAACACCTTATGGGTCATTTAATACCAAAATTTAATTTTCTTGGGAGGATTATTAATTTCAATACAAAAATGTATTTTGTAATATTTTTCGTTTTTTAACAAAAATGTATTGCTGATAATATTTTTACTATGAAAATGTATTGCTGGTATTTTTAATATAAAATTTATTTTTATAGTTATGTTTTGACTCCAGTTTGGGGTTTAGCTATTTTCTCATAGCTGAGACCCTAATAAGTGTTACCATTGCAGATCAGGGTGAATCTGGGAATAAGAGCAGTTAAGATGTGGCTCCATGCTTCTCCAAGCCTCCCAATCAGAGGCCTTGCTGCAGACGTAGTTTATTGCCATACCCAGGATGGAAAAACTTTCGCATACACTCAATAAAAGAATTGTGGTTTTGCAATGGAAGAATTTAATTCAAACACGTATTTTTATTTACTAAAAAAAAAAATTACTCTCATATTTTATTCTCGATCCTACAGCATTAAATACATTTTACATAATTTATTTGCAGACAGTCATCGTCGTATCTTGCCTCCTTCGGCTAAAAGATCCTACAACCAGAATTTTTCTATGACTTACAGTAAGTTTCTTTACATTTTTTCTTCTTTTCTTTATTAACTTTTATCTGTCAAGAATTTTTATTTTATTACCAATCATGAGACCAATTCATGATTTACATGCAGATTCTTATCAAATTTATTGCGTCTTGACATTGACAAAAAACTCCACAATTTCAAATGTGCAACATCATATTTTTTATTTAATCTCTTTAAATTCAAAACCAAACACACACACATATGTATACACACACACACACACACATATATATATATATATATATTAAATAATGTATATTTTGGCATCAAAAATTTAATCAAACTGGTTTTATTAAATCCAATCAACACTGATTTATTGTATTTCCCAATTTTTGAATAAGTTGCTGCATACACACACACACATATATATATATATATATATATATATATATATATATATATATATATATATATATATATATATATATATATATATATATAGAAGATAAAGGGGCATGGTGGAGTAATGGATAGCAGCTTGGAGTGAGGAATTGAAGAGCCGAGTTCAAATTCCAGTCAAATCCGTTCACTTACATGTTAATACCCTTGGGAAAGGTATGAATCCTATTCTTTTCCTTCAGCTATGGGTAAATAGCAGTACATACTGGGTTCTATAGCCTTGGATGGCAACTAGTCTAGGAGAAGGACAACTCTGAATTCAAAACTTGCAGAGGGTCATTTGGGGACCTTGTGGCATGTAGTGGATGGTTCTGCACAAACCTTCACCACTATAATCAAATCATCTGCTGGTGTCTGGCTGTCAGTTCCTAGGAACTGATCTGCTTGACCCTCTGTTGTGTACGATACACCTAATTTACATAAGTGGAGTACCGACCATATAAATATGGGTTGGTACCGGAAGACGGGGTGAAGATTAAGAGATCGAATCGAGAGACTCTGCCCGACTGCGATTTAGTCAACCCATTATGCAGGAACAGTCTTCCCAAGAATATACCAAAACTAACTGTAAATATTGTGTACCTTTTCCTTGTTTCAATACATTTTGTTAACGTACATTGTGTGTTGTATTATTATTATTCCATGCTTATCCAAGTTTCAACAATGGCGACGAGGTATAAAGAACTTTACGTTACGGAAAAAAAAAAGAATTAATAATTGATAGCCTTCAACAATTGGGACAAGTGGAAGAACCCAGGCTGAAGAAAAAAAAAAAAAAAATCATTAATTAAAAGTCGAACATCTAATGGAACGGAAAAGTATTCTGAAGTTTGGACAGTTAAAACTAGTTAAAGGACGACTAAGCTTAAAGGAACGTTCACTCAGAAAAATCTGGAAGGTGGCGTAAACAAATAACAGCGAAAAAAAAAAAAAAAAATGCTGGCCGACTAAAAAAGAAAAAAAAGAAAAAAAAAAGCTGGCCGACTAAAAAAAAACATGCATGGAATTAAAAGGAGCACAAATACAACGTGTCGACTTTGAAAGGTAAGCGAACTTGAAAAAAAAAAAAAAATTTTTTTTTTTTTTGTTTGGTTGCTCAACAATATTTTATAAAGCAAGACATAAAATTAAAAAAGGCGTATGTTGTTTCAATTTTTTTTTGTCTGCTTATAGTATATTCGTGGATACACAATTTAAAAGTATATTCTTTGTTGCATGAACACTATCAGTTAAAAATGGAGGAATTATCCAAAGTCATAGCTGAATTGTTTAAAGCCCAGCAGTTGAGTCAAGCTGAGTTAGTCAAATCCCAGCAGTTGAGTCTGCAACAACAAAGTGAACAGTTTGCCTTATTAAGAAAACAGCAATTAGCACAGCAGAATTATCAAGAAAGGCAAGAGGAGTTGAGTCAGCAACGTCAAAGGAACAGGAAGAAATGTATGTCAAGGTTTTGGAAATTCAAATGTTAACATTGGAGAAATTAAACAACATTCAGGCAAATGAAAGTAACTCTTCATATTCTAATAACATCATATTTAATTCGTTGGAAACTTTCAACTATGTGCCAGACGAAGGAAAAAACGTTTGAAGCGTACTTTAAACGATATGAAGATATTTATTCCACACAGACTGTGAAAACTGGTCGAATTCAAGAAAAGTCAGTCTATTACTAAGAAAGCTAGGTACAGCGGAACATAGCAAATTTGTAGATTTTATTCTACCGAGAAGAACAAATGAATTGGAATTCTCGGAAACAGTGAAATTGCTAAAGGAGTTGTTTGGAGCAAATATGTCGCTTTGGCATAAGCGATGGTTATGCATGAATGTAGCTAAATCCGACGATCAGGATTACTTAACTTATGCATCTATAGTGAATAGACATTGTGACAATTTCAGATTGGCAGAGATTACGGTTGAAGAATTCAAGTGTTTAATTTTTGCTCAAGGACTGGTATCCAGTAAGAGTGCCGAAATAAGACGTAGAGTTTTGTCTAAACTCGAATCTGAACAAAACCTTACCCTGCAAAAGTTAGCAGAGGAGTGTCAAGGGCCGTAAGTTTAAAGAAAGAGTCTCAAAAAAATTGAAGAAGCTGGTATTGCTTATATTAAAAAAGTGAAGAAACAGTCAAATTACCCATCAGAAAAAAAAAAATTGGATTAAAAAATTCGGCGTATTTTAAAAATAGACAAGAAAAATTAAATGAAAAAAATGAGGAGGGAAAAAAAATGAAGACACTGAGAGTTAAATTGCCCATATAGAAATAAAAAAATGTTTCAAAGTGCCACAAGAATGGTCACAAAGGGTCGTGTTGTAAAACGAAAAAAAAGTCAATAGCCGAATTAGACAAACAAATTCAAATATCAAATCAGATAGAGATTTGAGGAAGTATGTGACGACTGAAATATTTAAAAAGAATATCAAATTTCAACTCGATTCGGGTTCAGATTTAACAATAATGAACTATAAAACATGGAAAATTTTAAAAGGCCTACAATAATGAAGTCAACGAAACGCGCTCGAACAGTGACTGGAAAGGAAATTAAATTCGAAGGCGAGGTTGTACTTCCCATGAAATTGAACGGGATAGTTAAAAAAATAAAAGTTTTCATTCTGAAAAATGGAAAAAACTTGATGGGTACAGATTTTATTGAAACATTCGAATTGTGGGATAAACTGTTAAACTCTTTCTGCAGAAAAGTAGAAAGTAATACGCAAACAAGACAGGACATTAATGAGGAATTAAAGAAAAAGTTTCCGGAAACTTTCACACCTGGTCTTGGAAGATGTAACAAGTTTGAAGCCAAATTCGGATTAAAGGAAAATACTATGCCAATTTTTAAAAAGAAACGTAATGTGCCTTTCGCAAGTGTAGAGAAAATTAATGAAGAACTTGATAGGTTGGAAAAAATGGGAATTATTTCGAAAGTAGAATCTAATTCATGGGCTGCACCGATTGTGTGCATAAAAAAGAAATCAAACCAAGTCAGTCTGCGTTGATTTTTCGACAGGGTTGAACTCGGTAATTAAGGACTACCATTACCCGTTACCGAGTCCGGAGGAGATTTTTAACAAGCTAAATGGTGGAGTTATATTTTCAAAAATTGACTTATCAGATGCCTATCTCCAAATTCCCGTCGAAGAGGAATGTTCGAAGTTACTAGGGATAAACACGCAGAGAGGGTTATTCAAGTACAACAGGCTTCCTTTTGGTATTAAAGTGGCACCTGCCATTTTTCAACAAGCTATGGACGTCATGCTGAATGATTTAGACTTTGCGTGCGCTTTACTTAGACGACATCATAGTAAGGAGCGAATCGGTCGACGAACATCGAGAGCATCTCAATCAAGTATTTAAAAAGATTCAGGACTTTGGATTTAAAGTCAAAGAGTCAAAGTGCGAATTTGGTTTGGAGGAAATTAAGTATTTAGGGCACATAATCAACAAAAATGGCAGATGTCCAGATCCGGAAAGGTCCATTGCGATTAGAGACATGCCGACGCCCACTAATGTGGCGATGCTACAAAGTTTTCTAGGGCTTGCAAATTATTATCAAGCGTTCATTAAAGGAATGTACAATTTAAGAGCTCCGTTGAATGAACTGCTAAAAAAAGACAAGGCATGGAAATGGACGGTAGAATGTCAGAAAGCCTTTGATGAAATAAAGAAAATGCTTACGTCCGACCTCTTTTTAACCCATTACAATCCAAAACTGGATATTGTAGTGGCAAGTGACGCTAGTTCATACGGGATAGGAGCGTGTATTCAACACATAATGCCAGATGGTTCTAGAAAACCAATTGCACACGCTTCGAGAACTCTGCTCCCAGGAGAAAGCAGTTACTCTCAGATAGAAAAAGAGGCACTGAGTATCATTTGCCATACAAAAATTTCACAGGTACATCCACGGCAGACATTTTGTCCTTGAAACGGATCATAAACCACTGATCACTATTTTTGGTTCAAAGAAAGGGTTACCCGTTTATACAGCAAATCGTCTGTTAAGATGGGGAACCATTCTTCTCAATTATGATTTTCACATAAAGCACCTATCATCCAAAAAGATAATTTATGCGGATAGTCTATCAAGACTAGTACCGAGTCAAGAAGAAAGATTCGAAGAATCAATTATTGCAAATATCAGAGCAGATTATGAGGTGAAAAGCATGGTAAACAACATTGTAAGAGAGCTACCGGTTACGCTAAATGAAATTAAAAAAGCTGAAAACGATGATTTCATTTTAGAAATTAAAAGCAAAATGGTAGCAAATGACCAAAAAGTGCAGGAGATTTTTTCAATAGGTGATGGAGTTTTATTATATGGTGAGAGAGTAGTAATACCAAAGAAGCTGCAGAAAAGAATACTTCGGGACTTTCATATGGGTCATCCGGTATTAATAGAACAAAAAGCTTAATGCGAAGCTTTGTGTATTGAAAGGAATGGATGTAGATATCGAAAACATGGTTCATCGATGTAAGGGGTGTGCGTTAGCAGCTAAGGCACCACCTATAGTACACAAACCATGGCCCAAAACGGATCATCCGTGGACAAGATTACACATTGATTTCGCTGGTCCAGTAGAAGA